GAAAACCTTTAGAAACTTTTCCCCAAAACCCACACCCCATCTCTGTTCGTTTTGGGGGGCCTGGTCTTTTATAGAAGAGGCCGAGTGGTATAGACTTGGTGTCTACACCAAAGTAGCTGGCTGTCTCCCTGCTGGATTCTGTCTAACAGGTATCTCTTGGTTTTGGTGTTTCTAAGGGCAGGGGGAGGGGGAAGCAAGCACTTGACGATTCTTCCAAGTGTTCAGGGTGACTGTGAGATTGAGCTTCTGGGAGGGCACTGTAGTTACAAATCCAGTGTGAACTTGATCATTGAGATGACTTGTTCAATAGGGAAAAGGAAGATCGAGAGGGCTCTGTGGAGGGAGAAGAACCCAGGCCCCATAAACAAGTGATCCTACTGGCGCGTGGGTGACCCTTGCTGCCTCCTGGTGGCACCGACTGCAGAGGCCACGTGTGTGTGTGCACACACAGGAGGTGAGGGTCATTAATAAACACCCATGTGTGTTTACAGAGATCAAGGGGGTCTCCAGACTCAGCCTTTGCTCAGCTGCTCGCCCATGACAGCCTCAGAGGCCCTAAAGGCTTGGTAGCCAGTAATTGGCTGACCTTGAAACAGGCAAGGGCTTAAGCATGTCTGGCCTTTGCCAAATTAAATTATCAACAGGTCCCATGGCTTGGACACAATCATGAACCAGACACACAACAGACGTGGGGGGGAATGGGGGAAGGATTTTCCAGAAATACAGAAATGGGCTATTTACCTCTGTAATTTTATTGGAAACACTGAAAACCAACCCCAAACCACCTCTATTTGAATGTTAATGAGAGGTGAATACAACCGTGGCTCTCTTTGCTCTCTATCCATGAGTTGGAATAACAGCACTTCAAGGAAAATCCGTAAAAGACCAACAAGCAGGCTGGATATTTTTCTCACCACTTTAATTTCATAAAGGCAGAATTTCCTTCGAAGAGAATTGACAGGTGCAATTTGCTGTATTTCTGAACAAAGCACATGCAAGATGGTTTCCATTCCTTGAAACGATGCCCCAGTGGGTCCTGTTGCATGTGTGTGTGCTTGGAGAACCATCTTTTGCTGCAGGCAGGTCCCAGGGGCCCTGCTGCATTTCCCCCCGCAGGGTCACCCTTCCTCCAGCCCACTGGCTCCTCCACCAGAGGGCTGACCACTCCCCCAGGAGCCCTCTACCCCATGCAGACTGTTGCTCCTGGCATCCAAAGGCCTTACTTATCTAGCTCTCACCCTGAGCTTTGAGCCCTTTGTCTTAGCAACCTTTGTGGATCTACTGCAGAGCACCGAAGAGGCGAAAGCCGACCAGTCATCAAATGAACGGTCCCTCCCGCTGCCTGAAAGTCATCCCGATCAGCTCCCAACCCACAACTCGCTTTGCCCACAGGCAGTGTTGGCGAGGCTGGAGTCCCCCCACTTCACCCTCTGAACACTGCCGTCTCTAGGATCGCCCCCCAGATGCCTGATCTGCCTCCCCACGGACTGTGTGCAGCTCCTCGACCCAAGTTTGTGTGTGAATAGCCGCTGGTCATCTTTTAACAATGCAGATCGTCTCTCCTTTTTTTTTTTTTTTAAGATTTTATTTATTTATTTGACAGAGAGATCACAAGTAGGCAGAGAGGCAGGCAGAGAGAGGGGGGAAGCACGCTCCCTGCTGAGCAGAGAGCCTGATATGGGGCTTGATCTCAGGACCCTGAGATCATGACCTGAGCCAAAGGCAGAGGCTTAACCCTCTGAGCTACCCAGGTGCCCCTCGTCTCTCCTTTTTAAAACCCCACATGGCTCTCCATCTCTCTCGCTCTGAAGGAAAACTCCTTAATGGGCTTGCGGAGTTCCTTAAACAGGCTTACAGAACCCAGTTCAGATGGTTCCCAGTCTTGGTGCCCAGTAGCATAGTCTACACATTCTGGGTCACGTTTCTGGGGCCTGCACATGTGCATCGCGGTTAAGGTCCCCAAGCAGTTGTCAAGCGTACCTGGGTGGAGGACGTTGTTGTCTTTGATCTTGTCACCGGCTGGCCTGACTTCACCTCGTGCCCTCCTTCCCTCATGCTGCATCCACCGTGGCCCTCGTTGGCCTCCCTTCTCCACCCCCTTCCCCCAGATCCTCCCACACCTGGTCCCATGGTCATTTGGGTTGTGGTTTAAATATCTCCTCCCCCAAAGGGCCCTCCCGACCTTCCCAGTCCCCCCTTTACTATGTGGCCGTGTTTCGATTTCTTCAGAACACTTGCCTGATATGTGATAGCCGGCTTGTTAATGATCTCATCCCCACCCCTCCTTCCCTCCCCCCATAACAAATGAAGTTCATGGTGGCAGGATCTTATCTACTTTCCTTTCTTCTGAGCATTCCCTGGTGAGATAGGAGTTGCTTATTAGACGCAGGAGGAAGGAGTATAAAAGAAATTTGGGGTCGGTCTCTTGGGAAGTGGACTGATATTCGTCAGGGCCCCCAGATACAGATTCTGCAATACGATTGGGGGGCTGTGTTCTGAGGTGAAGGGTGTGTGTGGACGGGGCTGGACTAACTCAGGCTGAAACCCAGCACTTCCACTCACTCTTTCAATTCATAAGCCTGGACAGGAAACAGCCCTTGGGGCTCAAGTTTCCCCAATATTAAAATGCAAAAAAATCATGCACATGTCCCAAGGTCGGTATGAAGATCATGTAGGGAAACATCCAACAGATGCTAGGAGTATTGTTGTAAGTAGTAACACAGACCCCTCAGGTCTGACATGCCATTCCCTCCCCACCCCATGCCATTCCCCCCTCTTAAGTACCAGATAGGGTTCCGTGTGCTCTGAGGAGGTTGGGCACCATTGGCAAGACACTGCTTTACTTCAAACAATTTCCTCCAGGAGGGTAAAACCACTGCTCTTTCTTTCCTCCTCGCCAGAAAGGTCTCACTACTCATCAGATGGGTTTGGTGCTGTTACGAAAACTGGAAGTCAGCCACCAAGGAGAAAACACTTTCTGCGAGTGTGGGTGGAGCCCGCCAGCTGGGGAGGGAGGACCTGGCCTCTTGCATGCGGACCCACTTGTTTGGCACCTAATACGGGCTGCTGTGCCCCGAATTTAAATTTCTGCTGAGGCCCAGCAGGCCATGAAGAGTTCAGAAAACAAAACAGTGGAGGTGCCAAGGAGCTTGCATTTGCTTTTGTTTCCTCTTGGAAATAAAACCAAAGCTTCATTGTGGTATCAGGGGCTCTAAAGAAATAAACTTAAAAAAAAAAAAATCTAATGTCCCGAAGTAGACAATATACAATTGGATTAAGAGTTTTAAAATGTTACAAATATATTTCTTAAATGTTACAAACTATATTTGTAACATTTTTATTCCCTTGGAGCGCCATTATGTCTCTGGGTTGGCAGTGCCCTGATTTTGAGTAGCTCCTGAGGAATGCTACTCCAGACTTGAATCTGATTTTTTTTTTTTTTTTTTTTTTGTAGAGGTTCCTTCTCCTTGCCTGAGTAGGAGTCTTCAGGCAGTCACAGAACTGCTTCCCCAAGACCTGGCTGCCTGAAGGCGGCATCCTGTTTCTTTGGGAAAGTCATCAAGATGTTTCTGAGGCTCTTCACGCTGGGCTGGCCCTAGTAGGAATGAAAGCCAAGGGTGGGCACTGGGAGGCATCTTGGAAATCTTCACGGTGGTGTTGACTGCTTTTTTCTCTCATGCCTTTCCAAACACTGAGGACATTTTCCCTGAGATGGGAAAATTCCATTGATTTTTTTTTTTTTTTTGGGTCCTCTCTTATTTCTCCTTTGAATCTTGTCTTTGAAGTTAAGTAATGGTCCCATTTTTTTCTTTTATGTTAAATAACTAGACAGAATACACGTCAGCTGTTGTGATGTTTCCAGTTTGTAAATCGGTAGCTGTGTTTTGTTTCTCCAGAGGGGAGAAGTGTGTTTTATCCCTGTCTCTCCCCCACCTTTGTGCATATTCGTGGATAATTCTGCAAGCCCGAGAAGCATCATGGGGCTCTGCTGGAGAGCTGAGTGAGGGCACAGGCTGACGTGGGGAGATTAATGGAAGTACATGGGGTCGTCACTGGGGATCACAGGGAGCCCATGTCAACTCTGTGATGATTCGCTAGGGTACTGGCTTGTCTGTCTGCTTATGTGCATGGAGGAGGTGAACTGGTCACTGTCCAGGTGTTCCAGAAACTGTGGTAGCTTCTCAGATGTACTCCATGCAAAACATAGCCCCAAGAGCTTTTTTGTGTGACAGACTCTTGGCTGGTCTATAGGGCTGAGAGCCATGTGGGAATTTGAGTTATTACAAAAGGGTATACACAATTTTTTAAAAATACATATTATTTCTGAGTGTGCTATCTGTAAACATCATTGTGGTTACTAATGTGTCCTCTCACTGGAAAACATTCCAGACTCATAGTGATTTTCAGTCATGCTGTACTCTCAAGGGGCACAAGAGAGACATTAGTCCTGTGTTGCTGTCCATTGCATTTTCTGATTTGGAAAGGGCTGGTCCCCCGTGAGAATGGATGTGGAGGCTGAGGGTCCCTGATGGAGGGTCCCAGTTATGAACATCAACTCCTGCTCTCAAAATGCTCTCGTGATAGCTGGGAGATTTCCTTATCCTCAGGAGCACCAGGAGTCTCGTGGGGAGATCTTCCACCTGACACCCAGGGTCCTGCACCCATGGTGACCGTGAGGCACAGTTCGGTCACTACCCTCTGTACACGGTGGCAGTTGCTGCCTGAAGCATGCAGAAGGGTCACTGTCTGCAAAGTATGTTAGATGTCAAACCTTGTACCTCTTGCCTGTGTTTAGACCTGTAATAGACCAATCTTGGTTGTCAGTTTCAACATAAGCGTTTCTGGTGTATGCGTGTCTACTGAGTCCGGCCCGTCAGTGGCAGGTTGGGCCTTAGACTAAGGATCAATAACAAAATGTGTACAAAGTCCACTACAATGTTTCTCTAGAAATGCGTGATATCCAAACCTCCCAAATTAATCCTCTTTCTATTTCATTCCAGATAACTTGTTCAAACCCAAAGAAAGATACATTTCAGAGAAGGAGATGCACATGCGATCTAAAAGGTACTTGGTTATTGTGTGACGTCAGAAAATGTGGGGAGGGGTGGCTGCTGCGTCCAGGCGCCGTCCAGAGGGGTCACTACTCCCAGGTCCACCTTTAATGTCTGAGGTCGTCTTGGCCGTGCACGTGGAGCGCTGGCTAAAAGAAGTTGTTCAGTCGCGCCTCTGAATGTTAATGCCGTGCTTGGAAAAGCCTTAGGAAAGTGGCGGGTCTTGGATTCTGAGCCGACCCAGTAATTGGTCTCTAAGAGATCCCCAGACTCGTAACGGGAAAGCTTCTGCACATTCTCATTGTCTCTGTGGGCAGGTGCTCCTTGTCACTGTGCACCTCTGAAGGTGATTTTATGAGGAAGAGCGAGACGGTTTCTCCTGAGGGCCCTGCAGTGGCAGAGCCTGCAGGAATGACTCCGAACTTGGAAGCCCGTGGCATGTGGGAGCCAGCAAAGCCACAGGGCCACATGCTGGCCTTCCTGACGCTCCATCCCAGGCGGGCTTGGCGGCCTCACTGCCCACAGACTCTCCCTGTTCTGCCTGGCTGGTTGCTATTCTAGACTCCGACTAATTCTCACCCACCTGATCACACAAAGGCGGCCATTCTTTCGGAGCCCTGGCCGCCTAACCAGAAGGTAATAACTCAGCTATGTTGGCCAGGTTCATGCAAGAAAATGTCATTAGTTTATAATAAAGTATCTAGCACTGGGAGGAACAGTAATAATTAAACCCAATTGATAGAGCCCTTAGAGAAACCACTGAAATAAGAAGAATATGTTTCTCCACAGTCCAGGCACAAAAGTCTCTGCTTTTAGGATAGTTTCCATGATAATTGGCCAACTTTGATCCCGGGCAAGAGCCTCTTTGTAAGTCCAATAGTGGAAGTGAGAAGGGGAGCATCCCATTAATGATCTGATTCATGGCATTCTAACTGGGAGTTCTGAGGGGCCACTGGGTTTTCAGACTTGCTGTTTGAGATGTGCAGGGTTGTGTGTCCCTCATGCCCGAAGTATTCCTTTTTCAATTTAGCAAAAAATTTCAGCTGAATTTTCCCTTTGCAGTCCCCAAACCCAAAGTTGCTATTATGGAGACTGGCAGCTAAAATACTAGGTCTCAAAGCAGCATTCGGGGTCGACAGGATGGCCCCAGGGCTTTCTGGAAGCGGAAACAGAGGCTCAGGGAGGATGCAGGAGCTAGGTCACGGTGCGTCCCCGGATGGAGTCCGTACTTGGGTTTTCACTCAGCGTCCTGGGTGGGCTCTGACTCTGGCTCTCTCACTCATCCACAGTCATGCTGGAGCTTTCTTTTCTTCCGTATTCTTTGTTATTAGTTGTATGGTTGAATCACATTTTCATTTTAAATACTCAAACAGCAAAGATAAAGTTAAAGGCCCTCCTAGCCGACAGTCTTCCCTCCCACCGCATTTCTCTGGGCCCGGTCCTTTCTCAAGAGACCCACAGTACTCAGCCTTCTGTGCATCCTTCCAGGACCTTCTGTCTGCCTGAAGATAGACTTCCACCTGTACATCAGCAGTTATCTATTTGTTAATCATAAATGGGATCATACTATATATATTATTTTTCTGTAGCTTTTATCGCATGAAAGATACAGATAATTGACCATTTTCCTCATTGGTTCTAACTATTTGCTGTGTGGTGCTCTGTATGGATGTATCCTAATTTATTTAGGAAGCCCTTGTAACAAAATACCACATCAGGAGCTCCAAGAGTGAGACCTGGGAATTTTTATCTTAAACTGCCCATATAGTTCAGACGGTCGGTGTCAGGAAGATGGTCTCTGTGCATCTGGGGATTTCCACTGTGGAGCTTTGGGACATTCAGCTCTCCTGCTGATTCCTTGTGGTCCTCTTCCTGGCCCTTCCTGGAATAGTTCCTAGATATGGCAAGTTTGTGTTCATGGACTCATTCAAACCATACTCATGGAACAAGTATTTCCCAGACACTTTATACTATGGGGTTAGGGGGCAGTGTTGCGTTGGAGTCCACGGTTCGAACCCCAGCCCACCATGAGCCAGCCTGGGGACTTTGCAAGAGCCTCCTGACCTCGCTGGGCCTCGCGCTCCTCTGTCATATTGTAGAGGACACTATGTGCCTCTTCCGGCTGCTGTGAGGGTTGACAACATTTATGCCTGGTGATTAGCCTCATGCTCAGTAACCAAGATAACGTCACCTGCTAATAATGTCATTTATATTTTTATGCTTTGTTATTATTATTTTAAAAGTAGAACCTATTAAACAAATTTTGTCTGGCTTTCGGATGTGGGAAAAAAATGAAAAAAAAAAGTGTTTACCCACAGGCCATGTATACTGCAACCCCACAGCTCAGGCTACTGTTCCTCCACTGTGTGTGTGGACTCCACAGAAATATCCTCCAGCCTCTGGACACAAACAGTTTCTATTAAGAGGCAGGAAAGAAGAGTCCAGAAGACAGTCTCTTTCTTGGGCCCTGCTTGTTATGTGGAAACTCCTAATTTTACACTAGGACAAGACCGTGATACTTACGTCTGAGATGTATCTGGAAGCAGTTTAATTAGGAAGGCAACAGGTTAAGAGAGAAACACACATTTACGCGTGTGTTATCCCGGTAGAGTTCCTGCTACTTCCTCCATTTATTCGCTGCTCTTTTTCTAAGTCATAGGAAGGCTTAAAAAAACGTGTAGCAAAAAGGCGTCTGGGCAAGTTTATAGAGTGGGAAAGCAGGAGGTTTGGAATCTCCCACTTGATGTGAGCAAGTCATTAATTATCTCCAAGAATGGAGGGGCAGGGAAGTGCCCACCCAGTAGACAACTGGCCTCTGAGCTTTGCCCTGGGGCAGGGAGGGGACCCCTGACTGTCGGCGCCATCCCAGCCTCAGCGGCCCGTTCTAGAGACTGTCGGGCAGCCCTGGGTCTCGGCGTCTCACCGATCTGGGATGGCCCGTCTGCAGCTGGTCTTGTCTTTGAAATGGAAGAGCCTGCTGACAGGACAGGACACAGACCCACCCCAGGCACCCGCTGTCTCGCTCCCCTTCAGAGTGTTTTCTGAATCTGTTTCAGAATCTATAATAACTTGCCGGAAGTGAAAAAGAAAAAAGAAGAACAAAAGAAAAGAGTGATCTTACAGAGTAACAGACTCCGTGCTGAAGTCTTCAAAAAGGTAATGGCCTGGCCGCCAGCAGGTGTGACGTGTGTGTGGCACGCAGATGCTGAACCTGACCTTGACGTGTCTGTCTCCTGCCTCCCTAGCAATTACTGGACCAGCTCCTTCAAAGGAACGCGGTCTAACCACAGGCCGTGCGGCTGACCCACTCCCGGGACCTGGGATGGCTTCAAACACCGGATCCACCATTAAACTTACCACTATCTTCATGATATGAAGCACTTACTTTACTTTTGATTTATTTTTTTGTTTGTTTGTTTTTGTTTTTTGTTTTTGCTTTTGTTTTTGTTTTGTAAAGGAAAACATAGCTCCTGAATTGCTTGCCCAAACCACACAGACACAGTAACCCTTGAGGAAATGGGCCAGCAGACCATGGAGGGGTGACCCACATGATGTAAATCACTAGGTCTAGTCCTCTCAGTTTTCCACTTTGGAATTTACCTTTTGCTTCTGATTCCCTGCACCCGCTGCCACCATTTCCCCCGAGGCAGAAAAAGGCCTAATACGTTCACATGCGCCCAGATCCCAGGGGGTTATTTTCATTCATCAGAGTTTTGGGACGCACATCTGTCACTTTTGAAGTATCAATCCCAACTTCTGCCAGTTCTGCAAACTCCAGACTTTGGGTCAGCACCCAGTGCTCAAAAACCCTTTGGATGTGTGGGCCAAGAGATTCCAGAAGCGGACCTGGGAAGAAGGCGGGCACTCGGGCAGGAACGAGGGAGCGTTCAGTCTGTGTGTCCGCGACCAGAGTGGGGAGAGCCGTCCTCATGACCCCACCCCGCTCTGAGGGCTTCTCTTCATTTAGAAAAAGAGTCTATGTCCACAGAAGCTGTGAGGGCGGGATTAGTGGGAACAAAAAAACCACAGGCGACTCTGTGTTTTCTGCAAAGCCCCTCCTCCCAAGCCAAAAGCCGTGTGGCTGAACGTGGCTGTGGCTCCCGCTCAGCCACATGATCTTCTAACTCTGATGACATTCAGTGTTTATCAGTGTGGGTTTGGGGAGCGAAGAGCTAACTAGTTTTTATCAAAAATGGAAATAAATGCAATTATGACAAAAATGGAAGTATCGCTCTGCTCTGTGTTCCTCGCCGTGACTACGGCAGCTGCTGTGGATAACAGTGAGAATGCAGTCCCAGCCCAGCAGGGGCCCCAGAACCCTCTTCGGCCACCTCCTCACCACCACGACCCCCAGGTCCAGAGCCCTGTGCGCCCCAATGCCCCGGAGAGCAGGCGTGAGGGAAGCAGGGAAATGGAAGGGCAAGGTTTAGGATCCCGAAGGCCTCCCGCTCACTAGGAATCGCCCCAGAATGAGAAGGAGGTTTGGGGGTTCAGCAGAAGCCTTGTTGACACTTCCGTCCCCATCCCGAGGCTGTCACTCACCTTCCCTCCTTCCCCTGCTGCATACGCCATCCCTTTTCTGGAACGCCTTTTTTTTTACGTGTCTACCAAAAAACCGTTTGAAAACTCAGCCTGCAGGTTCTCTCCTGACACCTTCCCCGCGGCCCTGTCCTCCAGGATGAGTCGGTGCCGTGCCCTTTGGGCACATGGTCTCAGACCCTGCCAGCCAGTGATGATGGACAACGTGGTCCCCTGCAGACTCCGGATCCTGGTCTTGGCCGCATTGCTCCCTAGTCTGTGCCTGGAAGGCAAGGGTATCGGTCTGGATTCAATCAGGAGAGAGAAGCCGCACAGTAACTTGCCCGGGGAAGTGTGATGTACGTAATTATTTACCATACCGGGAGTGCGGAACAAGGGATTGGCTAGCGAGAAGGAGAGGGAACTCGAAAGCAAGCAGGTGGGGGCAGCACGGAGCAGCACGTGGGGAGCATCCCGTGAGCAGAGATCCCACAGGATGGAGAGGGAACAGTTGTGGTTCAGCAGGTGACCGGCGTTCCTGTGGTCTCATTGAAAACCCACCCTCTGGAATTTGCTGGAAGCCAGCTCTCTAGGATGATTTGGTGGGGGGGGGGGCATTATTTTGCTGCAGTACCACCCGAGGGGGCGAAGGGGCACCCCCTGACCCATAGGAGCCTGCTGAGCAAACTGTCCCAGACCTAGGAAGAAGTGCCCTCCGTCCCGCCGTGTCTGTTCCGTCTATCAACAGAGCGTAGCCGTGTGCCCGCAAGCAGAGGGAACACATGGGGGGGCCTGGATCCGTTTCAACAGAGGAGGCAAGAAGGGCAGCTTTGCTAGGGCAAGATCATGCCGCCCAACACTGGCCTAGCCAGCTCCTTAGCCCTGTCCCCGCTCCCACAGCTGTAAAAGGGAGACCATTCTAGCCCCTCCTCCCAGGGTTGCTATGGGAACGGAACCATCCGTGTGGATCCGGTGTTTGGAAGTGTGCCTGGCCTAAAGCAAACACACCAGGGTGTTTCCTCGCGCACAGACGCAGAAGTGGAGGCTGAGTGTCTTCGGGAGCCCTTGGGCCCAGGGACCGTGAGTTGTCCATCCCCGTCATCCCTCAGCTCGGCACAGAACACGTGCCAAAAAGACTATCGACCCTGTGGATGTTGCCGCAGAAAAATCCGTCCTACAAGCAGGATGCTCCGCAAACGTCCTTTTGCTCTCGAGCTCTTCTCCCTCTTAGAAACAAATTCAACTGTGCTTTATGCTTTTACCCTGAAGGTTAATCCCAGCTTTCTTGAACTTCCGAGACGGTATGCTGAATTTCTACTCAGACTTTTCACGCGCTCTTAAATTGTTTAAGTTGAATCTATGATATGCGTTCAGGCTAGTCTTCCTCAGGTAGAGATCCTGCCACACATTTTCTTATTTTTTTCTTCGCTATCTTCAGAGAGTTTCAAAGCTTTTCCTAACCAATAATTTACATTCAGGGCCCGACCACTTCTAGACTGTTCTGTGATGCTTTCTAAGAAGTGGGTTTATGTCACCTAGCAACCAAATATCTCAGAATTCTTGGATGCAGTCCCCTTCCCAAAGTTGCCCATGAAGAGCTTACCCCCTCTGCAAAGCAGATGCCAAGTCTTAATGCTGATGAGTGACTTTGGATGCCCAGCATTTCTTTTATGTTTTAATAAGGTTATAATAGAAATACAATAGTGTTTAATAAATATGGAAGAAAAAGCTTGAAACATAGCAGTCATCCTTTATATTTCTCTCAGGAAGTGGTGGCCCAGTTGCTGGATTCTCTTCTTAAAATCAGACTTCAGGAAAGACTTTAATGATTTTGAAATTCTAAGTAGAATCTACTTTTGTAACTTTAATGATCAGATTCACTCGGGAGCCGACTTCTCATCTGAGTGGGTTTGAGTTCCGGTGTTGGAACGACTCTCCGGTGACAGGAGCAGAGAGCGGACGTTGTGGATTTGCTGTGGGCAGCTCATGAGCTCAGACCAAGCAACATTTGAAATCATTTGAGATGGGCCGGTAATAGGACCGGCCTGTCTCACTGTGGTCTCCATGACTTCATGTCAAAGGAGAAATTCCTATTTTGGTATTTATCCTCTCTGCCAGCTGGTAATGGAATAATGGAAAAACAATTGCCTCGGTTTTCTTAGCCAGCATGGATTGCCAACCAAACTTCCTGGAAGCTGTGTGCTCCCTGGGTGAGTCAGCAAATGCTTGCTCACATGAAACGAGGCTCTTTGAAAGAACTATTTGTGAAATACCAGTTGCTAGAGAGTGGTTGAAATGCCATTGCTTAGGAAGTTCTCCTGTTTCAACCCTTGGCGTACAGATTGTACGCTGTGGACCTGGTCTCTGCTTCTCAGATGACCAGCAGTCTGAGCAGGAGGCAGGCCAAATGCAGAAGGACGAGATGGTGTGACCAGCCTGCAGGAGGCCATCCGACAGTGGGGAACCAGGCCTTCTGGGTTAAGGGAGTAAGAACGAGGTACAGAAATGACTCACGGTGGCTTTATGTGAGAGCGCTGTCATGCGCATTAAGAGCGAAAGAAATGATCTGTGATGTGATTAAAATGAATTTCAGCAGATGCTTGCATTCTGTGCCCTTTCATGCACACTTGAGAGGTGCCCACGAGGGTCATGCTGAATGGCAGCCTTGGGGAAGGTGCTGGCCCCGAGCTGAACCAGCCCATACCGGGGACTCACATGCTGTGGCCATCTCTCCAGATTTTTCTCCTTGTCTGTCTGTCGCAAGCTGCCAGGACATCTCCCCACTCATCGGGAGAGGGGGCTGTCAGAAAACTCTGGGATTCCATGAGGGGCCCCCTTTCTCCTCGAAGTCGGGCAGCTCCTTGACGCAAATGTTTTCTCCACATGGAACCTAGCAACAACTTTGGCAGGTCTCCCTGAGAATCGAGGTGGTTTTTTTTTTTTTTTTTCCAAGTCCGTCTGCTGCCTCAGGCACAGTTCTGATCCAGAGACCCCAAGAGACTGTCTGAGGTAGTTGTCTAGGGTGTGTGTTGGGGAGGAGGCATTGAAAAAACGTCCATTTTTTTCTCACGTCTCTAGAAGCTCCCTGAGTCCCCATGCTGAATGCTGCTGGTCCCAGCCAGGCCGTAGCCAAACCATGACTCCAAGCAGGGATCCTCTCTCTGGTCTGAGCACGTCAGGAGCTTGAAACCGGGGAGGGAGGGGAGAGCCTTTACTCGCCTCTCAGATCTTCAAAATGCTGCTTTATTCGTGTCCAAGCCTACAGAGGAAGAGAAAGCAGTTTATGGTCCAAATGGCAGCTGAGAAAAAACAATCATGAATTTCTTTCAATCTTTTTTATGAAACAGCACTAAGAGTGAGAGGCACAGGAAAAGCGTCCTGTCGATGACGGGCAGAGCATGATTCCTTTGTTCAGTGTCTGTACTCTGCTGACCTGCCTGAAACAGGGCAACAGCTGGAATGACATCAGGGAAAAGATATTACAACCGTCACCCGCTTTAAGTACATTCGATGTGTAATATCCTTTCATCAAAGCCAACGAGGCTGCCTGCTTACTGGCCCACTGATGTCAGGGAGAGGGAAATTATAAATCTTTTCACTGCTGCTGATTGGTAAGGAAGCAAACCCACAGCGTGTGTTGTATCCATTGTGGCTCCTTGTGACTGACGTTGTGCCATGGATACCAGAGGAATTTGTGATGACGAGCCACTTAACAGTTACGTGTTGCCAATTATGTCCTTAACATTGAAATCTATTGAGCGCATGTACAGAATTTTTTGTGCTTGTTTTTGTTGAAAAGTATGAAGTGAAGGCTGGTTAGGCGGATTTAATTATTATATGCCGACATAATTATAATTCCAAGTCTTGCTCGCTTAGCTGAAATGTTTATTAAATCAAAATGACAAAATGATTCAGGATAGTCTTTCAGGACTTTGGTGGCCTGTGACGTTTCATTAGCAAAGCCATGCCTCTGTCTCTCCAATGGACAGTGAATATTTTCGCATGGGCGACTGGGACGTGTGGATGTTGGTTAGTTCGAGACGTGAAATCGGCTCAGATTGGGGGAAATACAATGAAGCCTTTTTTCAGATTGGGGTGTTTTGACCCTAATTCTCAGCTGGTGATTGAGTGAGGTCTCCCCCACTTCCCAGCCCCTTGATGGATGAAAT